ATGTTTGATTCGTGCATATAGGTTGGTTTTGACACAGCTCACCCGGCATCACCCGACATGGGGGTGTCAAGACACGTCTATGTGTACAAAAAGAAGCGGGACCCCACCTTGTGCTACCCTTAGTCCACCAAATTCATATATGGGGGGTTTGAGGGCTGTTTTGGTCTCCCCTTTTTAAAAGGCAGCACGAGGTGGCACCAAGGTCCGATAAGGAACCGGCCAATGTTTTGACAACCTGACATTGTCTTGACATCCGCGGACGTGAAATTGCACAACACGAGACATCGCTAGGGCAAAACGTCGCCTCCACCGGGCCGGTTGCCACCTCTGGCTGCGCGCGGAGTCGGCGCAAGCTGCGAGGCGTCGGCGCGAAGGACCTACCGCCCGTGCCCAGCGCCAAGCAAAACCTCCATTTTGGGTGTTCTCTAGAAAGAGACAAACCCAAACAATGCCAAGGGGATGGCAAGTGTCAGGGCTGTTGCAAGTATAGGGCCTAAGATTCGAATGGGCGGTGAGGGGAACTAGTCGTGAGCATAACTGACTAGTGCGTACCAGTCTTGTGCCCCTCGTGTTGCCCAAGTGTTGAGGGAACCTCCCGCACACAACTTCCCTTCAGGTCTCTGCGGTCATTCCCCCAAAGAACTTCCATGCTCTGTTGCCTTGCAACTGGGGGCGCTCCACAGTCCTCACGCAGTGTGTGGTTCAGGTTTTCCTGCGAAAGGTTTTCGCAGGCAAAAGCGCAAAGGTTGCCGCTTGTCACTGACGACGGCTTCACCAGCTTGCAAGTACTAGCACCAGCGCATATCCGAGCCGTGCAACTCGCACTGCAGAGGCAAAGTTTGGAAAATGCTGGGTTCTCCAATTTTCCCAGGGGTTGATCCTCCTTTCTGTGCAACCAGTTTTCTCAAACTCACCAGTTGCCCTGGGCTGTTAGTTTGCTGGAAATCAGGATCCCTGGAAACAATGAGGATCCCCAACGGAAAGCAAGGCAATCACGGTGCCTATTCTGTGTCCAAATTGCCTATGCCGCAAAAGCAAAAAACAATATTATGGCGCATTTTTTGTTGAGAACAATACACCAACACCCCTCGCAAAGTGGGGATAGCCAAACAGTCTGAGTCGCAAGAACGGAACTTTGCCTGGCTTTCACAGTCAAAAAAGGGCACTCGGCAAACTGTCCGCAGCTACGAGGAAGTGCTTTCCCTTAAAGTAGCCTGCAAAAGATTTCAAAGCACTGCCCTGCTATAGATTTCAAAGAACGGGGGAGCTGCCCAGTTTGCAGAGTGCCCCGGGTTGCTTACCCTCTTCCAAAAAAATGGGCGTTCACATGGAGCCTCCCCAAACGGAAAGCACTCAGTGTAGTATTCCAAGACCCCTCTTTCAGGATCTATAACTTGTGGAAGGGGAATAGGGATACGTTGTTGGCCACATTGAAGACCACATGCGCCAGCTGAGTTGGAAGATCCGGACCGTAAATCAGGAAGCTTCGGATGGATCCTTTGGGCACTATTGGGCACTGTTGCCCCTGGTTTCGAATGAGCAAACAAACCAGCACGTATTTTGGCCGCACGCCCGACAAAAGAGGTTGACACCAACCATAAAGCGGATCCAACACGAAAAACGTCTTGCATCCAAACATTCGGGAGGCACATCCTAGAAAGGAATTGAACCCAACAAGGGGATCCCTCATGCTAAGTATCGTGAGATCCCTGAATATTGCAAAATAATCCATCACATCCAACCGCACATGGCATCGTGCCATCAATTACGGTGGCGTCCCTTGCTCCCTTTCAATATTTGGTTCGGCACGTTGTGACGGCACTATAGTGCTCCAACCACAAGGTGTGATAAAGGTCGTTTGTTGCATGAAGTTTGGATTGGGCTGTGCATTTGGAGGGCTGGGGTCGAACAAGCCTCTTCTCCCAAGGCGTTTGACCCGACCCCGCCATGTGACCCTCCCAGAGGTGTGTCACTCTGATGGGCGCAGTATCCCAGTTGAGCGATCCTGGTGGAAAATTGGATTTCTTCCCATGGAAAGGTCCCTCTAGGAACTCATCCGCCCAGCCAAACAACATGTCAAGGAAAAGGTCTTAGGGGTCCCCAAAGCCACCCTCTGGTGTCCAGGGAAAAGCGGCACCCCTTGGTTGGCTGTTTCTGAAGGCAAACCCCCTCTCCAACGAACAAGCAAAGTGACACCTCCAAACGGATTGTCAGAGACCACCACTGGGCTACGTTTAAGCGCCTAGATGGTGTTCTGGGGTGCCTAGAAAAAGCCTCTAGTCATGTTTCCAGGAGTCAGTCATTAATTAGTTGCCCCTCATACTTCATTTGCTTAAGCCCCTGGAAAAAGTAAAAATATGCCCAGTAGTGATAGACTCCAATTGAAACCAAGAGAGAAAATAATAATAGTAATAATTCATAATGATAATGATAATAATAATACTACTACTAATAATAATAATAACTTCAGCAAATAGACGCATATCGTGTTTGTTCCTCTCCCCGTTCCGCGGTTCAGCAAAAACGCCGCCTTCCAATCCAGGCGATGCCGCAGGGAAGCAGCAAGGCCAGCGCCCATCTCCGCGGCGCCATGGCCCAAGAAAAGCAAGCGCAAACCCTCTGGGTGAATTATTCTGTTTCACCAACCTGAAATAAGGTGGGGGGCTACTCCCCACATAAACCATTTGGGGTGAGGTCGTTATTCACCCAGAAACCGTTCAGGCGCCCGATCACCGGACCTTCCATTGAAGGGTTTCGGATCTCCGTTCCAAGTCTTTGGACCTCAAAAACGAGCTTTTGGAAGTCCCATGATTCATAGGGCAAATGACTAGATTGAACATACCCAACAAATCAACCAACGACTCATCACCAGCCCTGACCGTTTCCCTTTCAGAAACCGGGGTGAAACGAGCTGGAAAGTAGGGATCCCGGAAGTACCTTCGCGTCACCAAACTATCTCCAGGATTTACATGGTTCCTCCGGCTACCTCCCACGTGGCTCGCCTGGAGGCTTGCTCTTCGTGATTGGTCGTCCTAGGTAGACGACGTGATTCTGGGAAAGGTGATGGGACCGGTTGCTCTTTTCCTTGAAAACTGAAGGTAGAATATTGCCGCCCGCTCACGTTCAGACGCCGTTCTGAGAACAACCGGCGAAGTGGCTTTGCGCTGCGTGGGCATCCTGCTGGGTATTTATGGGAATTTGTACTGAGGACCCCCTGTCAGTGGTATGCAAAGGGAAGCCACAAGGATGGCAAGTACCCTTAGTTAGAGGACACCATTTTGAGAAAGAAACCGCCACATGAATTCCGATTTGGACGGTTGCTCTCTCGTTGGAGTCTTGCAGAGTTGGCTTGTGCTTTTCTCTGTTCACCCTGTGAAGCCGCTGTCACGGCTGAAGCTGCAGAGCGCGACGGGGTCTGAGATCAGGGCGGAAATGGTGGGTTCCGCTTTGTTTCCCCTGGGTTCATCCATCCCAGGTCTACTTGGACCCGAAAGGAACTTGGTGTTTATTGAACTGGGGGGGCCAGTTCTGGCTGCCTTGTGCGCATGATGCATCATCCATGATTTGGGTTCCCTGGAAGAAACTCAACATGCAGCCAACAGGCAGGCTCAGGATGCATCGGAAGGCCTGTATAAGGGCACCCCTTCCAACTTGGGTTGACACTATCAAGGTTGGGGGCTTGTGTCGTTTCTCAACGAGGTTAGGGGAAATGTGCAAAGCACGAAACAGATCTTGGCCAGACTTGGACCATGTGCAAACAAAACGGAGGTTTGGCAGGTTAAGAGGGAACATTGAACACAGCACGAAAACACAAGTGCCGGAGCAAAGGGTGCGTGAAGAAAGGCGGTCCCGAAGATGGCCAGATGTCCATCGTGAACGAGAGGCACCCTTTGTGGGACGCCCCCTCCAGAAACAACCTGGAACACCCAAATAAAGCAATTGTTTGTTTGTGTCTGCCTTCGTTAAGGCAGAACAAAGGAATCGGTCCATCCAAAGGCCACCAAAAGCAGTGGTGTTCTGAGCCTTGTTCAGCAGCAACTTCCTGGGTGGCACAACGTCAACGAATAGATTTGCGGTTCAGAGAAACAATCTGAGGCCAAGGTCTAGACAAATGAGTATGAAAATCTGAGGGGACCTGAAACTTGTCCTTCTTGGGGCGTCATTTACGTGAACCTTGACACAACTAGACCAACATCGGTAAAATGAAGCGTCGCTTTATTGATTTGCTTTCCATAGCAAGTGAGAAACTCGGATGTTTTACTGGAGGCCCGGGCATGACAATCTCATTACATGGGATTCACTTTGGATGGCTGATCATTCAGTGGAATCCGTCATGTTTTTTTCTCCACATGGCTGACGGTGCTGCAACTCATGCGGTCCTTTGGGATTGGATCATCCCTTCACGGATGCGCTTTTTTGGTTCAAAACGAAAACAATGGGAAAACCACTATTTTGGGGGTCCAGGCCTGAACTCAAAACGGGGTTTCTCATTCGGAGAAATCAGATCCGGAGTTTAACATCAGCCCTCGACTCGAGACCCTTTCTTATGCGCCTAGTAATTACCATTTTTTGTCAAAGGCAGACGAAAAGGTGTCTTGTGGGGGGTGCGGGGTAAAGAAACTCGACCCCACCGCAACAAGCATTCACCGCTTTTACTCGCGCCACATCTCCAGGCTCTGTTTCACCTACGCGGGGCAAAAACACGGATGCAAGATGATTGAATGCAAGGGCGTCCAACGCTACTGACCCCAATATAAGGGCCTGAATGATTCCAACGGGGTTATGGGTGAAAATTCAAACCAAATACGCCATACTTCTTGGAAAATCATGGCCCTGGTCTGAGGAATCCTCATCATTGTCTAGGTTCGAAGCATTCCTCAGTTGTTTTTTGGGGACCCGGAAACAAAAGCTCCTTTTGGGATCTTTACCAAAAATGGACTTGATGGTTTAATTTGAAAGGGAAGCCCCATACAAAAGGCACCAACCGGGCCAAAACCCCTGTGGGCACAGAGGCGAGCTTTGGGTAGGTGATAAATGGGTGATCCATTTACAAAAATGGTCCTGAATCCCTACCAAGCCGAGGGGCGGTTTGACCACGCCTAAGACCCAAGCTAAGACCAAGCTGACCCTTTCGCTCTACCAACATGTTCAAAAAGGTTTTGCTAGGCTTTGCTATAACCCCAATAAACGAGGTAGTAGAACCACCTACTAAAATGGCCCTTTGAGGGCTTTGGGCGCAGCTTGCATATGCACGGAATCAACTGCTGACTTCCAGCTTGGTCTGGTAAATCCAACTGACCCCTCTGCAACATGTGCCAAACAAGGCAGGCCGGTGAGGTGCAATAGTGGTGTGCCGAAAAAGAACGTTACATACGTTTGACACACGTTTGACACGTTGAACGCCAAACATTGAACAGGCCGCTCTGCCAAGCCTCAGCTTCAGGGGAAATGGGATCACTGGGCAATATTCTTGGGCAACGCACGGGTAGTCACCAATTTGCAAATGGCAAAACTTATTGTGGGTCATGGTCATAAAGTCCCTCTATCTCATTTCCTGAGTGGAGCCAGACAAAGCAGATTGTTGTTTCTCGGGAAACAGTATAAATTCCAGGAACTTGCGGAAGCAATACGACAGGATTAATAATGATTGCCTCATCCCTATTTTGCGGCCGTTTTCGAACGCCAAGGGAGTGTTCACCACCTATTGGACAAGCAAAAATCAGGGAGCCTACCGCTCGCCCGGCCTCGAAGACACGTACCCCCCCCCCCGGCCCTGCAACAATTACATGACCCTGCACCAGCCTTAGATGCAGCTAGAAAAGATGTCGTTGGTGGAGCTTGGCGTCAGGCCCTCCTCACAAGGCAACCGCGGCTCAACCGATCCCAATCCCAAACCTCCGACTCGCGTTAGAGATGTGTGAACGCAGAAGAAACGCAGGGACCCAACTCCAACAAGCATCGCAAGTCGCCAATCATTCCCATCTCTAGTTCTAAAAATGCCAGTCAAGCTTCGTCCCAACTAAGGGGGAGGAGAGTGAATGGAGGCTTGGGAAAGATGATGATTTATCCATCCGCTTTGGGGCTATAGAGAGTGTGAACATTTTGGCAAACATATCCTATCCCCTGTGGTGTTTTGTTTAGAAAACCCTTTTGATACATACGTATGTGTATATATATATATAGATATATTAATGTACACCTGTGCATACATTTGCATAATAATATGTTAAGCATATGGGTGCTGAACAAACGGAACTCAAGCGACGCAGCTTTGCACAACAATGAGGAGGGAGATTCACCTAAGAGCATCTCAGCAGGCTATGAATCTCCAAGGCGTGATTGACTCTTTTCATCTGAATCTAAGGAGTCTTCGCTCCATCGTGGGAATCCGACTGTTGGCAAATCTCAGAAACCAGGATATTCAAACTTCGGACAAAACCAGCCCAGGCAACATGAATGTTTGTTACACGTGCGCGCCCCCAGCAGAACAATACACCGCCGCTGCCAGCAGGGTAACTGTTTGTGTGTTGAGGGGAAGATATTGAAAAAGCAAAAAGGCAAACGCCGCGATCGTAACGTTTAAAAAGGTAGGCGGTTGGTCTGGCAATGCAAGTAACTTGAACACCAAGCCGGTCCTGGAGCCAGCCCCCTGGCCAAAAGCAGACGCACCAACTGTTCCTGTCTTGGGGTACACAGAAAATGTTGTTTGATGTGTTCAAACAGCGTTAGATTGAGGCCCCAAAATATGACGTGTTGGAGGAGACTCCAGCTCTGGGTATGACTTGCTTCTTGCTTGAAAGGATCACCAATCCACGGAGGTGTCTTTGTGGTGTGGCTACAAAACCTTTCCGCCTATGTTCAATAGAAAACCCAAGTGCCCTATTCTGTCCAAAGAAAAAAACAAAGGCAACATGCGTCTACTGGGTACCAGCTCTCCTGCTCCATGTCCGTAACTTTGCGCTGTTGATTCAACATTGATATCCTTGCCACAATCCTGATTTGCATCTACGGTGGAGACACCAAATACTTACCCCTTAAAACTCCAAGCCCTGGGGAAGTTAATCTTTTACAGACATATAGCCCATGTTACCCAACAAGTTGAAAAGTTGTGTTTTTAAGAGGTAAGAATACATCGCAGGTAAACCAAATGTCCAACCACAAAGCGCTGGTAGAAAATTTGGTCAACTATAATTACTCTGGCTTTCCAATTTGTTCCTGACCTGGGCAGATGTTTCCACCCCGGCGAAAAACTACTTGCAAATGGTTAGCTAAGCCTGGCAATGGCAAGGGCATGCGGTTGGGACTGGATTCCGCCGTAAGGAATCAAGCCCTTCAAAGGGTCCCATCCAGAAGCGTGGAACCCACCGGCAACCCACCCCTTTTCGAGGAAAACGGGTCTTCCAGGACCCCGACCCTGCCAGGTTCTATTTCAGCAGAACCTTGGCTACCTGGTTTCCTTTGACTGGTTGGGTTGCAACCCCTTTTCGACTACCCTCCCACCAAATAACATGGAACCTACCAGAAAGCCGGCCGCCCCAAACATCTGGGCAAGCTACAGTCAGAAACCTGAAGTTCGGAATCCCCATCTAAGGGGGATCCCTTCATGACCGTTTTGCTCATATCGAATCCCAATGGCAGAAATCAAAACTCGCACGACCGCGCGCGCGGAAAAAAAAAAAAAAAAAAAAAGAAAAAAAGATCCGATTCGCCTGGAGGCACCGTCGGCTCCAGCGTCTGGCCGAGCTCTGTGCACCAGTTTCATGTCATGTTGCGTTTGTCCCATGGCATACCTGCCATGTCGGACACCCCATGTTTGAAGGAGCATGCCAGACTCCAAATACTGTAACCTCCAAGCATGAGCAGCTTTCGTTTGGTTCCCCCCCATCAGTCGTCAATGAGTCATGAAGGACCATTGGACATGCCTGCCTTCCTGTGGGTTCCCCAGCCGGAGGTTGATTTTTGGGGCATCCAAACCAACTCAGCCTAAGAATCATGGGACTTGGCCCCCAGGGAGGGTTTTCTGGATACCCTCTGGAGCCTCCCTGCAATCCTCGCCACCGACCCAGACCACCCCATTGTCACAGGGGAACACATAGGTTCTAACCTCCCCGATTTACAACAACTGGGACCATAAGCCAAATTTGGTGGAAGGAATCCCACGAACGGACAGCAACATGTTCCACAACCAGATCCCTTGCCTTGGACACATTTGAAGGGCAACCCCCGTAATCCATGATGGATTAGGAAACACATGGATGTGACGCTTTTTAGTACGCTCTTTTGTGGGCAACTATTTGTCTGTGTTTATGTAAAGGTGAGTTTTCATCCAGTATCGGGTTTCCCCAATATGAGCTTCGGGCAAAAGGCGTCGACACGGTTTCGCCGAAAAAGTGTCCCCGCTTGTGGCAAAGCCTTCCACCTTGGAACGGAAATGACTGGTAGATGCCGCAAGACATGGCACATGCCGTCCCCAAACTGATCCAGGATGATCCTGCAATCCTGAAGCATTTGTCCGCTATTCAAAGGCTGAATGGATGAATCGCTGGATCTGCAACATGCCGAAACCCTCGAAAAATCATGATGAGGTTGTTTTACCCAAGCCAGTAAGCACGCACTCAAATGAGCAGATCACCCAAGCTAGTACTTCACTAACCTGGGCTGACACACCTGAGGTACACAGAAAATGATGATGTTTTCTGACGCTGCTCGAGACTTAATCTACCCCGACTTTGTTGGAGGAGACCCAACGGCAAAGCGGCCAGTCAAGCCCCTGGCAATGTAAAGCTAAAGCCCACCTCGAAAACAGCCCTGGTCAGCGCTGCCTCCTGCGTTCCAACGCACTCTGCGTTGAAAAACACACCTCCTGTTGGTGTTCTTCATTTTCGCTGTTTAGCAAAAGTTCACAATTCTTTGTAGGTTATCTACGTTTGACCTAGATTCTCCAGCAGCCGCTGCGTACCGCATTGTTTGCAGAATTTATAGAGGTCCTGGACTTTGTCTTTTTGGGTTTGGGCCATTTCAAGTAACAAGCATGGACTTTGTTTGACCAATCCACTCAGAAAGTGAGTATGTCAAAATAATCTAGAAACTACAAAGCAAAGGCACCAAAAAACAATACAAACGCCTTGGTTCGTTTTAATGTTCTCAAACAAGGAGGTACTCAGCACAAGGCCTGCCCAACATCCGTGGAAACTAGCCCAAGTGTTACACAGTAAATCTTATCAACGCAACCTATGGGTAATTATGAGTTTGATTAAGAACCCTGTCGACGTGATTTACATGAGCAGTTCTGTCCACCAAATCCGACTTCCAATTCAAAGCCAAACCAGCCCTTACCGAAACCAACTGTGGAAGTCACCTGTTGGTCCGCCATAGCACTCTAGGGCGGTTTCACAGCTCGATTTGGCATTTAAAAAAGCCTCTAGAAACAAGGGAAGAAACTACTCCACGTCATGTCAGGGAAGCTCCCCCTGCCATTGACAAATGCCCCCAAATGGACGTCCTTGAGGCGTTGCATTGGATTCCGTTTCCCTGTTTAGGCAGCCACGGGAACGACCTGAAAGGACAATTGCAAGTTCGCTACTGGGAAGGCCATGACCCAAAGAACCAACCATCAAGGCTGTATCTGGCCTTTGAATAAGACAAAACAATGAAAGAACGGCTGACTAGCTGGGGAAGGCCTCACAGCCCCGGCCGCGAAGCCACTTCGACGCTCCTGAGCGTCAAAGTGGTCGAGGTCGCCCGCAATGCTTGGCTGGCCGAGTCAGATGCGACCCAAACCCCAGGACCGCAAAGACCCAAGGAGCAAAACAGGTGAGTTAGCTGTGAGGGTCTTGGTGACTTGAAAGGGTCCCTGCAGTGACACCCAAAGAGACTCGTGGTTGGCTTCCGCCCAAGTTCAATGCCCCGCAAGCGGAACATACCCCGTGTGCAACCTGAAGGAAATTGACCCAAACATAGGTGTCCTTTTAGGGGAAATAGATGGCCCTGGTAAACGAGTCAAACACGAGGTAAACCAGGCCCATCTATTTTTCGACCAAAACAACCAAAAAGGACACCTATGAACCCAAACGAACGAATCCTGGTCCATGTGCACGTGTGAGGGCTTTGAGGCCAGTCAGTTGTTGGTCGGGGCCAGGGCCTCAAGCCTAGGCTTCAAGCACGCAACCGGGGCCCAGAGGGGGACCCGTGGCCGACTTTCCGATGTTTTTTTGTTTTAGTTTTAAGGGTATTGTTTGAAGGGAAATCAAACAACAAATCACCATTCTGGGGCACGCCCGAGTTGAAGACAAACCCATGTAGTCTTGTGGGCACTACATACAAAAGCACTTGCCAAGAATCATGAAGTTATTCGTTCTTTCAATGAATGTGTGTCAAAACTTTGGTCGGACCTGCAGACTTGTGTCAAGTTGCCCATCTCCGTCAACATTGCCCCTGAAAAGGTCTCTATTCTTGAGCGCTTCTTTGCTCGCTGCAGTCTTCAGGGAATCAAACATGTTGGTGAGCGGTGAGTGTGCATATGTGTGTGTGTGTGCATATGGGCCTATGGGTGTTTCTGTTTGCGGCTGTCCCATTTTTGGAGGTTCTATTCAAGGGGACACCAAAGAGCAGCCACTAAATTGGCAGGATCTAAGACCCCCCACGTGCCTCAATATCGGACAACATGTTGTGACACCCCAAACAAACAAACCCAACCCTGGTCTCTCAAATCCGATTCATACATGTGGGCTGTTGAAATCAAAGCCATTTGTCTGATCCCAAGAAAGGCGGGCCAACACAAAACCAGGGGCTCCGGGGTCAGAAAAGCACCCTCTTCCCACATTGGTCACGACAGAAACTTGTGGTAGGCGGTACGCGCACTATCCCTCCGTTTGACCGGGTAGTGGAACTAGACGGGGAAAGGAGGTTGACGATTTGTAGAGGTTCCTGTTCCCATAGTGAACTTACCAGTTAATTGATTGGATGTTCAACCAACTCAGTGAGTAGGTTACATAATATATAAATATGAGCATGGTGATAGCTGGGGCAACCGGAAAACGGTAGCAGGGTTAGTCTCCTTGCGACCATGAATATTCCCTACTCGCCTCACGTTTGAACACCCAAGTACCACCCCCAGTGGTCGAGGAATGACCGGCTGCTTTTAGCTTTGACAACCGGGTTTGGAACCACCCAAACCAGCACGATCTTAGGAGGTGCACTCCAAACTCGAAACAATCGCGCAGATTCTTTCGCATATCCAATCATTTGGTCCTTTCAGCACCTATTCAGATTGTTACGCGCAATGGAACTAGCACAGGACCCATTCTTTCTGCCGAAAGCAACCACAAAAAAGAGGTACAAGGGCCAAAACGAGGGGTTCCAATCTGGGGTTCAAACATACGCGTGGAGGGACGAGTGCAGCCCAAGCTTCTTGCCAGTGCTTCCATTTCGTGGCTCAGTAGGTAACCAAGGGAACCACCCTGTTGGAAATGTAGTGGTAACTGAAGCACTGGGCAACATTATTTCCCTCATCATGAGCGCCTCCAAGTCATCGTAGATGTCATGGCCGTCGTGCCCCCAGGCTTCCTCGGATAGGCGTCTGATCGCCGTTGCAACTGAGCGAGAAAAGCGCGCCATGGCCAAACTCCGAATCTGGCATGGCCGCGGCTCCCTGAAAAAAGAACCTCGACATTTATTCCCTTTTGAACCACAAGCAAACAGGTCATTTGACTGTAGCGCACATGGCATGGGAAGCCAGGCAACACATGGCTGTCCCAAAAAGCGCTTTCTTTACTCAAAACCACCAAAAGCGGACCCATTTGGAAACCCACCGAGTTGCTGCCACTCGCTTGTGCTTGTGCACTTTCGCAGAGGCTGGCCTGCATCGCACACATGATGCCCTGTGTCAAGCGGTGCCCTTGCTTCAACATGTCAGTGTCTTTTTCGAAAGTACCCTTTTTGGGTTTGTTTTAAGGCACCCAAAAGGGGGGGGGTCCTATTTTGAGACAAACCCATGTGTGTGTTTTTGGAGGCAGGGTCCCTTGAAAACAAACTATACCAACAAAATGCGCCTGTTTTCCCCATGGCCACTAGACGTCAGGGTAAGGGACAGCACCTCAATCGACTGTGAACAATGTCAACATACGCTGAATGCTGAGGGGCGGTGCCTCCTGAAGTGGGTCAGGAACTATTTCATGTTCGAGGGACTCCGCTCACCATTTCTCACCATTGCGGTGCTCATGCATTCGAAGTGCCCAGGGAACCTGCTGGAACCCTTTGACATTTGATACTCAAGTGGGTCATCCCATGAGGGATTTGCCAGCATAGAATACATCCCCCATTGGTATCACAGAACACCAACCCACAAGCCAGTTGTCCAAAGCTGGCTTTCGTCCAGCTAATGTTGAAGTGGAAAGTCGCAATGGGAGAAACCGTGTGTGTGCCACCAAGATGAGCCAACTCAAATGCCGGAAACACGACCTTCACAACCTCGGCACGGGTCGAGGCACTTAGTTGCTTCCGAAGAGGTCCTGTCGAGCACGGTCTCAGGAATTCCAGTGAGTGCGAGCTCAGCCTGTTTGAAATTCAAAGCCTCAGCCTTAGTCCACTATGAGAAACCCCTATGAACCTTTCGGAGTCAGAGTTGGAAAGGTTACGGAACAAACAGCGCCATCGCGCCAATGAACAGCTGGGAGCAGACCCCCGAGCTCTCCAATCCAAGGGGCCCAAACAACAACCTGAAGGGCCGCAAACGAACACAAAGCAAACTTTACATGGTATTTGGCAGGTATGTTCTCCCCCCCCTCCCAAATCAAAGCAGCCCTTCTTTGACCGTATCTGGCCACTTATTTGATCGTACTTGGCTTTTGACCCCTTGGCTCCTTGGCTCCTTGGCGCCCCGGTGCTTCCTGTTACCACTAAAGGTGGGTAACCTGGGTAAACCGGGTGACCAAGTAGCTCTCACTGGCTGAGTGGATGGCCCCAAAAAAGTCCAAACTTTATATTTACCACTAAAATGGTCTTCCCAAAACGTTTAAATTTCATGAACTCAGGAAGTGAGTGTCACAGTAGGTGTACCTCAGCGTTTTCCATAAAGTTTGCGGGCTACAGCCCACAGGCCCGTTGCTGCCTGAGCCGCCGGGATGCCTCACAGCGCCGCGCATTTTCGTTGGGCAGGTGGACATTCGGGATTTGTGTCCAACCATGTGCAAGGCATATTCTGTGTTTGTGAATACTCTCATTGACTGGGGTACTCCAAATTTTGATTAGCCACTTTACAGCAAGCCCCACTTAGACTGGCCTTAGCTGGGTGGCTAGTAACCATGGCTAGAAACTACTTGGCATGGTGGCAAGTGCCCGTTCGGTAGGTTAAAACCAGGGTTACTATGCTACTAACCACTTCGCCAAGCCCCGGACCATCCCAGTAGTGGCCATGGATCAAAGACAAAATAAAGGAGGTCTTTTGGGTCCGGGATGTTTAACATGCCTGAACACGGACCCCAAAATAATTCCCGTGCGAAAAAGGGCACCAAGTCTTATTCTTGGTAACGCTTTTAGGGGATATGTCTTCCAGAAAGCAAATAAGAAGCCACACTGGGTGTCTGGCCTACTCGTGTTTGGCGGCCTTTCTAAATCAGGAAAGAGGTTGAGGATCAGGAGTTGGAGTTTGAGGCTGGAGGTCCTCTCCAGCCCTCCCTGTCTAGTCAAAAGGAAGCGCGTTGAAGTTGAAGGCGGGGAACCCTTTTCTGAGCTTGTCAAATCGCTTGACTTGTTCAAGCAATTTCAATAAACATGCTGTGGAAAACAAGCCCTTAAAGCTATGAAGGGAATTAGAAGTGTAGAAGTATTGGCAGTAGCTCGTGTATTTTAAAAGTTTTGTTGTTCATTGTTTGGAGTTTGGAGGGTCAAGGGGGTTGGCTTTATTGAGGTGGTTTTGGCGGGTGCCAACCACTGTTTGTCTTTTTGGTCAATCCTCGTGGGTCTCTTTAACTACTTATCGGCTGGCAATCTGGGAGGAAAGAGGACAGTCTTTGACATTAAAGTGGGTTTGTTAATCCGGATTAAATATCAAAACCCAAAATCATGGCTATTAAGCGTGGCTTCAGCAAGTACAATAATGATACAGCCGCCAGGCAACGAACAAACGCTAAGAATAAGGGCCCTAAAATAGCTAGTGTCCTTTTGGTTTGCCTTTGAATACCAATCAAGAGGCTTCACCATGTTGAGAAACCCCATGTAGAGTCCTTGTTTTGTGTGTGGTTGTTTGCTTAAATTCGCACCGTGCAATCCGCAGCATTTGCCACGCCAATGCGAAATGCCAAAAGCGACATTCCCACAAGAACACCTACGCGAGAGGCGTCCTACGCGAGACGCGCCAACGCGGGAGGGAAGGACGAGCCCGGAAGGCCCCACCTTTTTCGGTTTGGATCTTGGACGTCATGCCTACGCGATGCCCGCGCAAAGCCTACGCGAAATCTGCCTGTTTTGCATTGAATATTTGAGGAAAAGCGTAATTAGCTGTTGGACCCGCAGGGCTTCTCCAGCTGTCAGACCATCCTCACAACAACGCTTCGCATCAATCACCCCTTCAAATAAGTAGATACCACGGCTTGTCACCTTATTAAACAGTCGCCTACACAACTGCTTATACGAAGCTTAACAATACGAGCCTCCGCGAAATGCCTATGCACGCCTGGGTGGTTGTTGCCCCGTCAACAGCCTATGTGTGCAAAACATGTCGCCACAAAACTGCGGAGCTTTCCTGAAAGAAGGCGGTCCATTTTGAGAAACGTTCAAACCTTTTCAGCGCATTTCCCTGCGCCTGCGGCGCTGGCTGAAATCCGCTGGCCTCACCGGGATGGAACTCATGCCCAGGCTCTCTTGCGGCTTACTCACCTGAGTGGACATGGGGAAGGTTGGTTCAATTTGGTTCAGTTTCGTTGGATAGTTCCTCAAGCGCCCACTTTGGGTTGGTGGATGAGCTACTCCTTGGGCAATGATCAACCATACACCTTGGTCCAAATATATGTTACCTAAGTCTAAAGATACTAGATGGAACCAAACGTTGGCCCAACCCCACCTGCCCATATGGGGGAAAAAGACGTGGGCACCCTTTTTTGTCCTTGATGAAGACAGGGACACGCTTCCCCCAAACAGGAAGCACATATTCCACTGGGCAACTGGGAAAGGTAAAAGGAAAGGGCCATCACGTTGAGGTCATCAAGTTGCTTGGATCTTCATGGCATGCGCACTCGAGTTATTTCTCAAATCCATTCCCTGAATTACCGGCAGCCTTTCTGGACAGACTTGGATCAAAGGGTCGAACTATGGAGCGAGTATAAGTGAATGCAAGCCCCAAGACCTCCGGACCCTCCGGGCTTGGAAGCCTTAGGATAACAATTTGCGATCTGTCCCCACAACTAGTGCAAAATCGAGCGAAGTTGTGCCAGAAAAGAGAACAAAAACCTACGAGGTACGAATCTTCTTGAGGAGCTCACAGTTCGTCCGCTTCCGCATTTCCGTATTCAGAGAGCCATTGCCACAAATTCCAAGGTGTGGAAATGCTGCTCTCCGGGTCAACTTGAACTTCTATCTCCGGAGCCCTCTTGACGATCTGGTGGTTCAAGAGCTTGTTGTGTTTGGGCAAGAGCCCCCGGTTGATCAAACTCTTCACTCCAGCAATGGCTCCGACAAGGCTCTCTCGCAGGAAAGCTCCAGATTTTCCGGTGATCTCAAAGAGCGGTGCAGGCACGTTAAAGCAACAACCCAAACAATCATAAAGCCTCCAAACGGCCTTTTTGAGGTCCAACCCAGATCCAAAACCTTTGAATGGAGAGTCCAATGAGGCTTAGGGAGCAAATGTCTGAAAGGACCGTCATGATTGCTCTTCTCATCCTGGTCGGGGGGAAAAAACAAACTCCCCCTTGTTGCTTGTTGGGTAAGTTGTATGCTTAAGAAACGCGACAACAAAACATGAGTTGGGAAGGAATCCGCTCAACTGGAAACTGGAAACCATCATGTAAAACCTACCTGGAGTCTCCTTCTTAAGAAATGGGGATACCCAAAAGAAAGAGCAAAGGGGTCAGGATTTCCCCATTTTGGAAGGGTCAGAACGAGCGTCTAGCGAGAGATAATACCTACGGCTACCTTTCTCTTGCGGCTTGGAAGCACTGGGCTTACCACGCCATGCGCCCGGCCCGGGTTGCCTTCTCCCGCTCTTCCAGCGGACGCCGCACACGGAGACCGGGTGGATGACCTGGCACTCCCGTCGTGTTGGGTGTTCAAACCTACTTGGTGTGCGGGTTTCCATGGTAAGTGGGGCAACTGGGGAAACTCCTCAGTAAGTAGTTGTAAGGGTAAGTGGGGCAACTGGGGTTGGTCCGCATATAAGCCTACTACATTGGTTGAATCTCCAAGTACCAGGGCCTGTGGCTGCTGATTTGGGTGTTTCTCAAGACAAGGGACCTCTTTGGAAGGTACATGTTCTGGATTCCTCTTAAAACTATCCAAAAGGGGCACCCTATTTGTGAGAACAGTGTTCTTGTTGCCAGAGTTTTGGACTCTGACTCAAAGGAAGCAACCTACCAATCACAGCTTGAAAGGAAGGATCTGGGCAATTACTGTAACTTACAAACACCAAAAAGGCATTTCCAAGCAAAGGGCCCTCATCCATGTTCACCTTTTGTTTGACACTAAACCGGTAGGTTTTCACGTAAAGGACCTTCGTCCAATCTCGCCATTTCTTTGACACGAGCTGTAGGCATTCTATCTGCAATCTACCTCTATCCATCACGTGAGGCCAGGGGAGGCAAACAAAAGCCAGTGTCCGCGCGCGCAAGGGGTTGACAAGGGAGTAACTTCCCGAGAAGCAGGATCAACTGCCAAAGCCCTCCAGCAGCCCTATCCTCTGCGCAAAAAGAGATGTCAAGGAACAATGCGCAAAAGGGAGGAAGAGCCTGCAAGATCGGAGAGAGCGGTGGCAATCATGAGGAGAAGAGCAACGAGAAGTTAAGCGCGAGGAGCAGAGAGCGAAGCAAAGAGTTGGCAGAAGCTGGGGAGCCTCTTCAAGCGGTCCACGAGGGGGGCCGGTGGTAGTTGCCTGTATAACGGAGAAAAAAACCCATGTTGAAACGCCAAATTCTATTGGACCGCTGGCTCGCAAAATTGGCGGAACTCCACGTTGTGGGATGCACGGACCTTTTGTGATTTGGGTCTTCCGAAATCCCGGCAACCCTGAAAAGGGGAACTGAAGGAAGGTTCTACCCTTGAGGGTGATCTTTTGATTCAGCCCACAGCAACCCCACTTTCAATTTGACGCCTTGGCGTTGTCGAAACATGTTGTGACTCCAGTGCGACGCCCGAAATCGTCACGGAGGTGCGCTGCTTGGTCTTTGGAAGACAACCGAAAAGAGCCCCAGGTCCTCTGCTATCAAAAAGTGATCAGGCTGATTGGTTGCGCCTTGTGACTGAAGACGTGCACAATCAGCTGCACTGGCATAGTAATTGCGACAAACTTACGCTTGAATGTGGGAAGCAAACTCTCTTAGAAGCTCTTTGAATTCAGTATTCCGGATCCAACAAGCAACAGCGCGTTTCACAATCAAGCCACCCGTCTTTCAAAAATCAGGAAAGTGCAGCGGTTACCCCAGATCATGCAACCTGGTGGATCAACATGGGCTGTTTCAGACTGGCCTGATTCAGCTGCCGTTCACAGAAACCAAAGCACCTATCCGCAGAAGCCCCCCGGCGGCCACACGAAAGAGAGGCCAGCCTGGTCTTGTCGGTTGGCTTTAAAGGTGAACCGCTTCCGCAACAGCGAACACGGGTGGAACACCCCTGGGCAGCTAGGTATCCAAAACCGAGCTTCGCAGAATCTATTGAGCACCTGGACCGGGTTCCAACGGCCCGATGTTTTTGTTTTAAGGACCCACAAAAAAAGGTCGGAAAGCCGGCAAAGAGGAAACCCACCCATTGGCACCAAACAAAAAGGGGGAAAGCACGGTGACCAAATGGAACCCACGCACCCCCGATTTGTTGCACCATCGAATTTTCCGGCGCTCGCAACTCGCGCCTGATGGTCTGCGGCGGGCGGACCGCGGCCTGGAAGCGTTTGGTTCAAAAGCCCAGTTGAATCATCCGATCAATATCCATGATTATAGCCCCAACTTATTCTCCATAGTTCTCAAGGGAAAAAACGCCTTCTTGGGTGGAGGGGGGGATGGGTCTTGAGAAAACCCACATGCGCCATGGTGGTAAAAAATGTGCTAATTGTGGGCCATGGTCGTGTTTTTGTTGGGAGTCCTTGCAATGGTAGACCTTCACTTTGGCAAGTTCAATTGCCCTCAGATACGTTCTTGTCCAGAAAAAATGAGTCACGGGATCAACGGCTGTACCAGAGCAGAAAGCAACGAGGCATGGCCAAGAAACGTGTAAGTCAGTCACCGCTACATGCGGAGCAACCAGGGAGGCGTGCGTGTTCTTCCGATAGGAGTTGCAAGCCAAAGAATCTGGCACCGGGGCCCATTCTCGTGTCCCTTTTGAAGCCTTCTGCAAACAACGAGCTCAACTGACGAGCAGCCTCATGCTCAGTCTGCCAGACTCAGCTGCCGAAAGGACTCAGAAATAGAAGGTTTACCTTTTGGGGCCAGGCCATGAGTGAAAATGGAACTACAAGCTTGAAAGGTCGGCTTCCTTCAAACCCACCAGACCCGCCACGCGCCTTTCAGACTCACAGGAAGCCTGGCAAAGCAGAAAAGGCTGCGCAGCTCTGAGAAACATCGGCAGGGGTGTCAATGTCTCTTGGCCCACATGGGCAGGCAGAAAGTCATATCGGAATCTGTCTCGTATATTCAGCCTACCCTAACCCCCCCGTTGTGCACTTAGGGAGTGGGGGTTGGAACAGCCATTAGTATAAGACATTTTGTTTGGATGAACTCTTTACACCATCAGGTTCCTTGAAGAGAACTTCAAATGGGCCCCTGAGCTCCACGGGGCGCTATCACCTGCTAACGCTTGGGCCAACTGAACAGAAGCTTGATGGCGCGTAACCGACAAATCATGTCGTTGGTGGGTTCAACTCATCCTCGGGTTTTGGAACTTACCTCAACGGTTGAAAACCGCCAAAACGGGGAAATTTAGGGACCCCCTGGCCCAAAAGCAATGGATTCGGTGGCGTGAGCCACCTGATCCGTTTTTTTTTTGTTGGACCCTAAGGCCCCTCCAATAAAGAGTGGATCTCCATTTGAAGGGCTGGACCTCAAAACGCGCCGTTTCCACTTCCCATGATTCTTGAAACAATAGGATAGAGACTCGAAAAGCGCCTCCGGCGACGGCGCCATTTCGGACATGCTCCAACCTGGGCGAGGGTTGGTCACTTCTCCACTTCCTTGCATTGGCCAAAGAAAACAGATCTAAAAGGAAGGAACCCAAAATGGGCGGTTTTCTCTTTGTTTCCTGCTAAAGTCATCCAAAAAAGGGAACCCTCCAAAAAGACACATCCGAATGCTTCACAGAGAATTAGTCCGGGAACTGCGGGATATCAAGTGGGACGTGTGCTTTTATCCGGGCCCAAAAGAGGAAGCAGGAAGCTCACTTCCTACTTCCTATTCTTCCTGTTGGCCAAAACAAGTCCAAACGAATTAACAACTAAATGGAAATCGGGGGCTTTTCAAAACGATTTGAAATGTCAAGGATTTCCTTTTGGTTTCTGTAGAAACAGGAAGTCAACGAAAACACTAAAGGCAAGGGCCAAGCACAGTCCAAGCCGCGGTCCGGGTTAAAGAGATTTATCATTGTCCTAGCTGCGGGCCGGATTTCGGCGGTGTGGCTCCAACTAAAAACGCCTTGTGGGTTCTCCTTGACTTAATTCTTCCAGGCACTCGGAACGTGACAAAGCCCATACTTCACCTGGACGGGGTCCCAATGGAGAAAGTATTTGGCCGTGTCTGGCAAGATTTGCCTTACTTGGTCGCATTTGGGCCTTGCGCCTAAACAGACCCTTTGGGGATCCACTTCAGAATTATTGTTTGGGTTCTTGGTTTTCATCCAAGTGAGTAAGTGGCTTGCAACTTAGGTCACAACCCACTTGGTGGGCCACCCAGGTGGCCAACCATGTACTCTTGGGACCTCCAAAAACCGCTCGAGGTCCAAAGCATTCCAGAGGCGCAATGCTTTGGGTAACTTGGCTCACCCAATATGCCGCGGTTTTCTGGAGGTTCGGACTCACGGCTAGGCTTCCCGTCTTGGTTGTGACACGGAGCGCGATTTCGCACCTAATGACGCGGCTGGGTCAATGAAGGTGATCTTGTGATCAAAAGCCGAGGAGTGGAAATATCACTTTAGGCCAGGCCCTGACATGCAAAACGGGTATGCATGTCAAAATTGAGAAGTTGGGCCCGAGCCAATGCCATAGGGGAATACCTTGGGCCATGTACAACATTGGTGCCAATTTATAGTCAGTCGTATTTGGGGTAAAGTTGGACCTTCGCGTAGGTTCCTGGGGACAAGATGTGCAGAACGGCTATCCCTGTGCGATCCGGAGAAGGCTGCTCATCTGAAGTGGACGAACCTCACGAACTTGCTTGGCTCCCTTCAGAACATAACTTCAGGGGTGTCCCTAAACGGCAGGAAAGGTGTACTTTCGGAGATCGAGAACTTCCCCAGCCCTGGGGGCACAACACAAGAGTGTGTGGTAGTACCAAAAAACACGAGAGGGGGCGCTGAAATCTCTGCAACCTTTTGGTCAACAACCGGCTTACTAATGTTTGTAAGAGTTTGGTACAGACTGGCAGTTTCAACACAGGCGGAGTTCTCAAAAGAGCGGTCCCTGAAAACAGTTGGTTTGCACCAACCACAAGGGGTCCACCAAGTCAGTTAGAACACCTCCCAACTGTCGAAAGTTGAGCGCATCTTAAATCATGTTATAAATTTGATTCTGATGTGGAGTTCTAGCCGCCCGAACCGCCTGGCTGCAAACAGCTTTCAGTTGTTTGAGGCAAGCATGTTTGTCCTATACCTCTTGCAGCCAGCACGTTTCTCGGCGCATATGGATAATTTTCATGTTCTATATACGGTAGACTGTTCCCGTTGATCTGGAAGATTACTGCAATAGGCGAACCTGAGCAACGGACCCGCTGAGCCTGAGCTCATATCACCCATGATAGAAATGCGTGGGTGCACAGGGAATGCCGAACCCAAAGGGACCATGCGGCAGCCCTCCCCACACAAAAAGAAGAAGAATTCACACCTGGAGTCACCATGACCCTTTAAATACGAGGTCATGACCCAAAAGAAAAGTGGTCATGGCCCCGTGTTTGAAGGGTCTCCAGGTAGTTGTTGGGTAGTCGAGTTTAACGCGACCACTGGTCTGGGCGAATTGGTTATCGCCTCAAAAAAGGGGCTGTGAGGCGCTGCAAAATGCAGAGGGCTGGGGTTTTAAAGCTGTGTTTTGCCAATATATTCATGTGGTCGCGGCTGTCAGGCTCCTAGGGCAATATGTTAGCATGGTTTACCCTCCTGTGTGGGGTTACACGATGTCCAGATAATTCAAGTTCGAGAGCAATCATACCCAGCAGCTCCATAGGTGACCCAGCGGGCAACACGAGTCACGGTTCGTATCTCGATCAATACGACTTAGCTCTGAAATCGGACTACCTGGCATGAACCAAATAGGTTAGAATGTTGAAACGCACACACTTTCCATCCCGCGCACCTTTTTGTGCTCAAATGAAGGTACAGGACCAATGGAACTGCCGTCAAAAGCTAGGAGAAACATGCCTGGCTACCTCCTAGCAGCTTGCCTCGGATCCACTGGAAGAGATAAACACAAGGGGCTCTTGACTGCTAGCTGTTTTCTAAATCTAGTTGCCGAGCTTGCTTGTAAACTAGTAAATGCCGCCCTCGTTTTGCGCGATGGAATGGGGTCATGACCCCTTGGTTTTGGGTAATGACCCCAATTCTGAAAGGTCATGGAGACTCCAGGAAAGTATCCGTTGAGATCCAAAGCACCCAGCTCCGTTCGCCGTCAGATGGCCTCTCCCCTGCCTAAGATGATTGAGATCCCGGCTCGCGAGAACGGAGGTCCTGATGCATAACGAGTAAAAAACGCTCGGTTGCGCTCGACAGGGCAGAAAGACAGAAGAAACAATGGGAACACGGTCGTGCATTTCCGGGGAAAGGACAAAGCAGTTGTGTAGTATCCCCAGCCCCGAAGCCTCCCCACGCACCAAAGCATTGGCACGTTGACCCAGGCTGTGGCTGTTGGGGAACGGAGCTATCCAACGGGAAGGACCTGCTGAAAACGGGGAAAGAGTTAAACAAGAATGATATCGAACATTGTTGAGGGCTAGGGACTAGCTTCACATGGGAATCTGACCAAAAAGAATCGCGGATTCGTGCATAAGCAAACTTCCTAGAGGACGACAGTCTCAGAATTTCATATCCACGCATCTGCAAGAAGCTAGCCAAATACCACCAAACACGGGTTTCGGCTACATGTAGCTGTCGTCTTATGCTTATGCTCATATCATTTGGGTGAGGGTGCTCATTGCTTCGGTTTCTTTTTTAGGCTTTTGGGGTGCTCTCCTTGTTTTTGTCCTACCTGAGCTGTGGATAGCTACGGATTCCAGTGCCAAATATTTGCGGCCGAAGTTCAGGTTTGGAATTGTTGGGTGTGGGGCCTCCGATTTCATAAACTTTCCTCACAACTCCCATCCTGTCCACAAAGTTCGCCCAGGGCCCATGATTCCGGTTCTCCGATTCGGCAACCGAGGTGTTTCAACGTTCCGGAAAACGGCGAAGGTTGGTTGCCAACAAGTGGCGCTTCGCAAAGTCCTGGGATCGCTTTGATTTGCAGATGGCAATTGATTCGCGCGGGGTCGTGTTCCCATTCTTCGGACCGCCTAGGCAGTGATGAACTTGTAGGTAAATATCGCCTAATGAGGCCCACCAGTGGTTTTGGAGGAAGGTGTGCAGGGCTGCGCAGGCTTTGTGTGAATTGATGAGTCATGAAGAGGGGGGATAAGGCCTGAGCAATTTGTAGCGAGCTCACCCGGGGATAAATGAGCAAATGAGCGCTCCCAAGAGGAAGGTCACCCACTTGGCGACTAATTCATGGTCATTTGAAGTTGCCTACCTGGAGACTCCGTGACCCTTTAAGCATAGCCCTGTCTGGGTAGTGACCCCCGTCCTCAGTGGGGGCGGGGGGAAAAGATTTGCCAAATGGCAAGTGTAATGTTCTGAAACCGGCGTCCGATGCCTCGGGTCAAGATGTATCAGGTAGGCTTCCTGTAAGCCTCATGGCCAGTGTCCAATTTTACCGAGTCACCTACTGTCAAAAGGCCTTCGGAGAAAAGTAGACCTGAGTCACAATGAAACCTGGTAAAGGGGTCTGCCCAAACCACTGTAAAAGAATCGAAAGGGCGACTGCAGAATAAACAGAGCCACTTGGCCCAGGACATTAAACAAGACGTGGTCCTGTTCATATTTAGGCCACCCTGACATATCTAGAAAATACATAAAATTGTGCCTTTCCTCTAAAAATGGAGTACCCGCCAAAACAAACAAGGCCATATAAAATCTGCAAAAAACATGATGATGGCTAGATCTGAAACAAAGGAACCCCCCGTAAAGCACCTGCATTCTGCATCATAGTGAGCTCGCTTTGCAGATTCCCAATCCGGCTTGCCGTAAAATGGGCAAATACATGATTTTGGAGAGGACCCAGTTTCAGGATTGTTTTTCAAAGGGCGGGCCAAATATGAAGGGCAGATTCAAAATATACTAAATACACAAGATCCCCGGGCAGTTTGGAGCAGATCCTACTGGATGTGTGGCAAACAAACAAACCGCCTTTTGCTCCGCTCCTCGCTGAAGATGGGCGCGGCGCGTGCGGCGCGCCTGCAAATGGCCGACGACTGAGCGTCGTGACTGGGGTGTGGCTGACCACTCATTTACCAGGTCCCGCAAATAAGGATATCAGCTGAGGCCCAGCTAACAAAACACTTTACAAGCTCATTTGAAGGATCCTCAACGACAAGGCAAATAAGTGTTGGATGCGTTTTTTGAGGGAGCCTGTTTAAAGCATATTTAAATCACAATTGCTTAAAAAAAACAAAAGGGAAACCAAAAAGGAAATCAACCATTTTGGCGGGCGCCAACTAACTTTCAGGGCCTTGCTCAATCAATTTTTGGCCCAACCCTGCTCACGACCCATCTATCCGAAAGAAATGGTGGCGGGTCCACAGACTGGATTTTTAGGGGGCGGTCTTGGATGGCCTCTGTCTGCAAATTTGACAGTTCCAAAAACCCGGAAAAAGAAGTGGATCCCAAGTACCGGACTTGTGTGGCTTTTGCTCATCCCGGATCGGTGGAATCGCTCATTTGCCCGCCCCGTGTCACACTCCATGCAGGTGAAGATCCTTTGTTCGAAGGTTTCAGAGTTCCACGGCGGTTCCCCTCCGAAAGGGTCCTCCGTTTGAAGGACTTAGTCCTCTTAGCAGTGCTTAAGCAAAGGTCTTTTTTGGCAAGTTGTGGGTCATGTGGGCCTGCTTTGGCCACCCTTTCTATGCAATGATTTTGTGATGTTTTGAAAGCTTCAAATGTTCAAATTGTCCCGTCAAATTGTCCAGCTTCAAGGACATAGAGAAGCAACAAGCGTGGGAGAATCAGTATTACAGCTTCAAAGCAACGAAAGCTTCTGGGGGAGGCCACAATGACAGGCTGCCACGTGATTGCAACCAAGAACCCTGCGGCAAATGGTCCACGGACATCACGAACGAGGAGTTGGCCAGCATGCACCAGTCTATGACATGGAGGACATTCCAAAAAATTGGAAGGAGACCTTTGCGCGAAAAGCTCGTGGAGTACAAGAGGCCAAAGACGTATCTGCACAAGACGCCCTGCATTGCTTGGATGAAGCTGGACTGAGGCAGCTCGGTCGGGAACTTCACGAAGCTGCGCCTCTTCTGATACTCATTATGATGAGCTGGTGGGTCTGCAGCGTCATCACAGAAGCCCCAGAAGCTATGTTGGGCCAAAATGTCCTGTAGTGACATGCCCTGAACTAAGTTGTTGCTAAAATCGTTTGATAGGGGTATGGCCGCCAGTTCAAATGTTTGATGGTGGTAAGCATTCAGAAAAAAGTGGTGTTTGCTTTTCGGGCTGCCTCCCAACACGAAAAGCATTGCTTGAGAACTGACTGCTTTCTGCCGCAGAAGCCGGAAGATTGGCAGCGGTGCGATCTTCGCAAGTCCAGGCGTCTGAGCCCATGGGAAAGTGACCGTCTGAAGGCAGAAAAACGACTAAATGATTAGATTGAAGATGCAATATTATTGTCGACTGGTGTGTGGAATCCAAACATGCATCCCTTGCTTTTCAAGATGTACATTATATATATATTAATATATACACGTGTGTGTTACGCAGGGCTTTGCCAGTTGTCTATTTTGAGACTACCCCTCATCTAGGTCCTCCAGTAGCGAGGTTAGAATAAGGGTCCCCTCTTGTCTGTAGTCATTTTTAGCAAGGGAAGCCTCCCCCCAAAACATGTAAAAGTCGTGTCGTGGATTTAATTGAAAGTGCCCAAGCATGAAGTATTGGCTATTGTCACTCTGTCAACAGGGTCTTGGTGAAAAACCAGACCGGACCTTGCAAGCAAGGCTGGAAAAGGATGCCATCGCTTCAAGCATGACATGATACTCGGTTGATACGTTTTGCAAACAGGTTCACTTGTTTCGCACTCGCAGTGGCCAGTCGGTCGCGAATCCGGGACAGCACAGTGTGATTCACGCAAACCCGGATTCATTGACCGTCTACCCAAAATTAAAAGTCATCGGCCGTATTACGCCAGCAGTGTTGCGGCTAACATCTAAAAGGATTCAACTGCCTCAGCTGACCCTCTGTAGCTGTGCTGAGGGCAACCCGGCACCTCATTCAGGCTCTCGCGCGTGACCATCCTTTCAAGCCGGCGGATCTTGCAAGTTCTCCGCCACGCTGACGCTGGTTTCGTCCTGGTGGCCGGGGGCTGAAACGCGGCCCCACCGTCGAAGCGGCTTGGGTAGCCGCCTCGCCACACTCCCCAGCCCCAGTTGTTGCCAGTTGTTGCCGCCGATGTTGTTGCCGCTCCAGTTGTTGCTGCTCCAGTTGTTGCTGCTCCAGTTGTGGCCGCCATTGTGGCCCCAGCCACCGCCGTTGCCGCTGCCAGGGGCTCCTGCGAGGTTTGCGCAAAAACAAGTTATTGATTTAGCTACTGGTTAATAGTCTTGGTTACTACAGTCAGCCTCTCAGCTGTCATGCTATTATTTTTAGGGATGTAAACAAACAAGTTTCCCGGTTTGACGTGGCAGTCCTGGTCCGTCAAAGCCGTGCCGCTCTGCTCGATGAAAGATGGCGACCGCAAGACGATGAGACAAGTTCCTAGCCGACATAAGGGCAAGAATACGCCCAATAATCAAACCATTGCAGTTTTGACTTAATGCGCTATTGGCTTTGTCAAGGAACCTGAATTCTTCATTGCGCCCTGCGTGCTTCAACGGCATATCGAACGGGGTGGCCCATTGATTTGAGTGTGCCCCAAAATTGGGAAGGGCGGATAGACACCTCGTGGAACCACCAACTATAAAATACTCGTGCATGAAGACACCCGTCAGCTCCACCTCGCCCACCAAAGGCACTCCCGCCCGGGCCACGCCGACTGATCATGGGCACGGCTGCCTGCTGGAGCTTGACAGATTGAGCCTGGGTTGTCATGCATGCGTGTCATGATAATAGATCAAGGCCTGCACAAGTGATAACATGCCATGGCGTTGTTCTTGATCAATTGGCAGAGTCATAAACATGAGCGCATGACTACTTCAGAAGGCCATCGTTGTCTTTGCTGCAAAAATGATTTCCCCCATGAATCTGTGCAGAGCAATCACAACATGTATTGATTGGCGTCGGCGTCGTCCACTGACACAGAGATGTCACCAGAGTACGCCCGCTGGTCATGAGGAACTGTCTAAGACCCTTCCTCAATGAGCGTCACGCTGTCTCCGTGTCATCTCAGGCTCCTGCAGATGAAGCCCAACTCAAGTTGAGCGCGTCCTCAGGGAAGCGCCAAGTAGATAGAAAAGACCCATGCGTTTTCAGGCCAAGTTGGTGAGGTGTCAGAAGCTGGAAATGGTCCTCTCTGCGGCATCGTCGTCGCCTCCAAAGCTGCGAAGGCGTCCGCAAGGCCGGGCTGCGACAATGACAAGCCCGCAAGCTGCCAATTCCACAGTTGCCGTGGCTCAGACGCCCACCAGCCAAGGTTATTGTCCTCGGTCCGAATTCTTCAAGCATGCTATTCTTTGAAAACAACTACACAAATACTTGCTAAACACATATGAACTATCATTACATCTTGTCAAGCGGCAGGAAAACGCACCAAGAAGATCTCGCTTGACCGTGACCGTGACCGGAAGCTGTCGGAGGAAGAACGCTCGGGCTCCCCCATAGCCCGGGGCACGGCCACCAGGGTATTCCGACTACCTGTAGATCCGTTT